TGAGGACACTTGTCCTCACGTGGTGTTACCTCTGTCTCTTATACACATCTAGATGTGCTCTCTCTCTCTCTCTCTCTCTCTCTCTCTCTCTCTCTCTCTCTCTCTCCTCCTCCTCCTTCTTCTTCTTCTTCTTCTTTTTCTTCTTCTTCTTCTTCAGACTAGAGACTTATACTAGTTGGACAGAAATCAGAGTTGGACTTTGGTGATATGAGACTGTGAACTATTGTTGAAAATAGCTTGGATCATTACGAGGTTTCATGTGAAAGCATTTCTTGTAAGTTGTATTGTTGCTACTGAATATTTTTGAAGTAATTTTTGAAGGCGTTATCATGTCACGATAGATTTCTGATGGATTTGTGAGGCCCACGCCGGAGCTATGCTCCTGGTCCATAGGGAGATGTTGTCTTCTATACCCTATGTGGTTTAAGGGAAGGAGGACTCCACTATCACTGAAAGGGAGGAAAGTGTGGAGGTATTATTAGAATGATGCTTGTAGGGTAGGCGATGAGGGGAGGAGTGGCTACCTAACCTTGTGTCACGCATGGTCACCCTACCTCTATGGTCGGGGTCTAGCCAGCCTTGGTTATTTGAGGTGAGGCAGTTTTACTCTACATGCAGAGGACTAATGAGATCGAAAACACTAAAATCGGAGAGAATGTGGTGAGACTCGAATCTAAAGCGGGGCTTGATGTCAAGATGTTATCCTCATATGGATTACACCACTCCTTGACGCATTCACAAGGAATTCAGAAGTAATGGGCATGATAACTTATGTGGAATGAAATGAGGATCATAACTTGGTCGGGGAACTTTGGATGAATGATTTTTTTTTGAATGGTCCGTTCAGACTAAGTATGAACAACTCCAGGAAGTTGATACGTTTAGAAGACCTGTCAGGGTTTATTCCTGACTCGCTTGAGTTTTACTCAGGTGCAACGCAGGTATCGACTGAATGAATTTCGTTTTAGAAGGCTAGCCGGAAACTTTTCCTGTACCATTCTGAGAGACTAAATGATGTTTTGAGTGGTCGTCAGTGGGATGATGTTGGGATCATTCTAAAAAGAATCCTCTGAATTGGGGGCTTCCAGGGGCTAGACCTGAGTTTAAGTTTTGATAAGGCTTGTCTGAGGCAATATCTGGTATCATTCCATCCACATATGATTTGTAACGATTTAAGGCTTCTGGAGGCTAAATCCAATTTTTTTGTACTAAGTGAAGGCTCCTGGACTCTAAATCCAATTTTTGTATTAAGTGAGGCTCCTGAAGGCTAAATCCAGTTTTTTTTTTTTTTTAAGTGAAGGTTTGTGGAGGCTAAATCCAGTTTTGTTATTGTGCTGATGTAAATTGTCGTAAAAGTTCCGGCTTAGTTCCGGATGATTGTTGGAATTATTCTATTGTGATCGTTGCTTTCACATGAAACTTTTATAAGAATCCTGATTCCATTTTTGATGGTGAACGACGAGGACGTCGTTCAATGAGGTCTGGGAATGTTGTCGGGGCAAATACCCTGACAAGGGTATTTGCCGGGGGCTTTGAACGTCGAACGTTGTCCGACTCTTTTGTTSAATTGAGGAACTTGATGAGACTGACGTTTGCCAAAATGTTTATTCAGACCAACCTTGTGATTGAGAGTCTCAAACTTTTTTAGAACCTGACGTCGTTGACGTCCGAATGAAACAGCGGGATTTGGCGGTACGATCTGTCGTCTGCAGTTACCGATAGGCCGCAGGAGCACATGGTCGTGGAAAGACTGAAACTAGACTATTCTACCTAAAAGACTGACACGCGGCTGCGAAGTCGCTTGATTCAGAGCCTAGGTAGGCTGAAAAGAACGGCGCGTCGAGTACAGGGCACTGACGCGGGAGGATTAATTCTTTTTTTTTTCTATTTTTCGGACCCGCGGGTTTTTTGAGTCAGGGGGCCGACAGGCCGGTGCTGAGACCTAGTCATGGACGGGTTGCCATCTATGGGAATGCGGCGGCAGGGTCTAATGCCTCAGGTAGGCGAAGTCTGCCGAGCCACAGACTGCAGGCAACCTGCTAGGGGCAACCCTTCAAGTGGAAGGGTCGTTGTTCTAGCTCCAGTGATAAGAACTAGCCCAGTAGGCACCGCATCGGATTTTCAACCAGCAGATGTTGGGATCGAGCCAGAGATAAGCAGTCTGGGCTAGCTCCTTTTCTTTTCGAGCTACCCACTGCACCAGCATGAAGCGCGGTCATTATCGGCCGCGAGATCATCAAATCTCACGGTCGGGAACGGCCGCATGGCTGCAGAATGACCCCTGCGCAAGGATGACACCATAAATCCAGAAATGGTCCAAAATCCCGATAGGGATTTGAACCCGGGTCTGTACCTCGATGTGCCATAGCAGGCCACGATGGGACATGACCGTTGGCAAAGCCAACGAAAAAAAAAAAAAAAAAGGAAAAACAACCAAAAGAACAGTCTTTGCAGATTGTGTGGGAGCACAAAGGCTCCCACTTCGTTGGACAGATGACCGTGACCGCGACATCATGAAATCTCGCGGCCCACAGTTCACACGCGGAAAGCAAGAGGGGGTTGGAGGAGTTGAGAGGAGAGTGAGAGAGAGAGAGAAATGGGAGGATCGGGAGAGGAGGACCTGCTCCTTCCGACCTGCCAACTGCCTCCCCGTTGTCAGAGGGGTAAGAAGAAAAAGAAAAGAAAAGGAAAAAAAAAAACAACGAAAAAACGGGAGCTGAATTTTGTTCAAAAGATGTATTTTTCAGTTTGCGCCACTATTGTTTTGGTGGCGTAAAACAATGTTTTTGATCTTGATTTGTTTTCCGTAGGTAGTCTGGCACCTAGGCCATGTGCATGAGTTATTTAATATTTGTTTATTTAGCGAATATTGTTCTACAATTCATCATAGTCGGGGTACTTTTTGCACCCGGCCATGAGCCTGTCGGGATTTGAA